CCAGGGCAACGGCGGCGCCAACGTCGTCGACGACAACCACCCGCTCGACGTGACCGCGCACCTCTGGCAGCTCATGCCCGCACCCAAGGCGAAGAAAACGACGCGCCGCGCCAGTACCTGTTCTGCCACTTCCACCACCTCGGCCTCTTCCGCGGTTTCCTCAACCTCGTCCATCATCGCCATTGCCGGCGACCTTGTCCCGACCCCACTCTCTCCGCTCCCGCTCCCGCGCGCGTCGCTGCAGCACCACTTCCACGCAGTCCCGGCCTCGCCCGCACCGACGGCCTCGCGCGCCTACGAAGTCGTTGTGAACGACGTGAACAGTGACAACGCGACCGATCACGACCTGCGCTCGGACGTGGCATCAACGCACTCGACAACGCGCGCCAAGTCGCTTGCTGCCAAGTCGCATCACCAGCACGACGCGCCCGACGCGCCCGACGCACAACTGCAACCTGACCATCCCGACTCGCGCATCTCCGACGCGTCGTCTCCACCGACCGCTGTTGTCCGGTCGGTGACCATCGGGTACGCGTCTCAACGTTTCTCTCGTTCTTTGCGCGCGAAAGGCGGACCGGAAGTGGGTGGCAGCCGGCGCTTCTGCGCAATGGGCTCGGGCGGCGCGATTGCACGGCGACGACCGTGTACAAACTGCCCTGCCCATAGCGGCACGACGGGCAGGGACCGGCTACGCCTAGCGCGCCGTTTGTCCGCAGATCACGATCTGCACCGACTCGGCTGTCGTCGTCGTCCCAGTCGGTCTGGTCGGTCGTGAGAGAGTGCCCGACCGCACGCGCGCCGGTTCACTGGCTGAGAGCCTTACCGTGCACGCGCGGTCTTGCTTTCGATTCGCGGGGCAAGCGGTGTGCCGGAGGCGAATTACCTTTTGGACCGCGTGTCGGTCGTCTGTCGCTCCCTTCGCCGTTCGCCGTGCGCACCTCGCGCTTCTTGTTCTGGTTCCCCGACTAGTGGACTGACCCCTCCGATCGCGCTTGTCCTCGCTCTCCTCTCTCCCGTCGCCCTGGTTCTCGTCCTGCTCGCACTTCACGACGCTCGACCTCAATCTCGACCCACCTCGCTCCCGCCACGCAGCTGCCGCATCTTCTGCATCCAAGCACACCGCAGCAGCCAACAACCCACCAAGGACGGCACCATGCCTCGCGCATCGACACGCGTCCTCTGCACCGGGTGCGGCGACGACGGCGACCCGACCAAATGGCCCGTCCCGCGCCCGAATGGCGCGCTCGGCGCGTTCGGGTTACCCAAGCACGCGCGTCTACGGCGCGCCTCGAGTAACTCGACCGTGACCGACGTGGCGCCGCCGACCCCGCCCGTGCCGTCGGTCCGGTCCGCGAAACCGTACGTCGTGCCCGAAGAAGACGAGGACGAATTGATTGATTTGGATACGGCGTTGGCCGACGCGCGCGCGGCCCCCGCGGCGTCGACCAAGTCGGCGGCGACCGCGACCGTCGGGACGACCGGACGGCGCGATTCACCCTTGGCCGGGATTTTGAGACGGCGACGCACGGCGGGCACGTTGCGCGGCGAGGCCGACGGTTTGTCGGTCCGGTCGGCGGCCACGTCGCACTGGTCGTATGTCCCGCCGCGTCCGGGGGCCGCACCAAGCCAGATCTCGCTCGTGCCGTCGGCCGCGACCGCGCGTGCGCGGCAGTCCAAGCTCGGCGCGACCCCGACGGCATCGTCGACGCGGATCGCCGACTGGCCGTCGACCGCAACGCAACAGCCGCCGCCGCAACGCGCATGGACGTCCCCCGCGCTCGCGCACAGCGTGTCGGTCCCGAACCTGCGTGCCGCTGCGGCCGCTGAGGCCGACTGGGCCAATGCCGCTGCCGCGTCCGGATCACCGATGCCGTACAATCCGGCGCTAGTCCCGTCGCACGCGGACCTGCACGCGGCGCTCTCGCACCACTTACTCGCTGCTGCAGCTGCGTCCCCGCCGGCCCTCTATGCGGCCGCGGCCGGCACGCCCGTCTTGCACCACCTGTACCCGCACCACCACCACCACCACTCTCCCACGACGACGACGCATCTGTGCGCGTGGCCACCCGCATCGACCCAGTCGGCCGCGCAGTCGCCGTGCGCGTGTCCGGCGCCACCGGCATTCGCGTACTACTCTCCGCCCTCCCTGGCCGCCGGGTCGCCGTACTACGCAACCTACGCGCTCTCGCCGCCGCACACGCCGCCCGGGCGGCACGATCCCGCTGGAGACACGCGGTCGACGCGGTCGGCGCGGTCGTCCAATTCGACGCGGTCCACGGCACCGCCCGTCGTCTACGGCGCGGCGGAACTCGCGCGGCACTACGATCGGGTGCCGGGGACATTGACGGCGACGCACCGCGCCACGTCGTTACCGTGCGCGCTGGTGCCGACGGGATCGGCGTCCGCGGCGACGAGTTTGGCCGCGCAGCTGGGCGCGATGAGCGGGTGCATGACCGTGCAGCAGATCGCGCCGGTGCCGAACGTGTTTGAGCGCGCGAGCGGGAAGGGTGGATGTTATGTGGTTGTGGAACGCGCCGGGGCGAGGGTTCTGGATGCGCTTGCGAGTGCGCCGACGGTCACGGAATTGGACGTGGCTCGAATCGTTGCGCAAATGGTCGCGGCCTTGGCCGCCGCGCATCGGGTCGGGGTCGTGCATGGCCGCGTCGCGCCCGACTGCGTCGTGCAAGTGCGTGACGGCGAGGACCCCTGGGCGGTGCAGGTCGCATGGGCGAGTGCGGAAGACGAAGGAGAGGAGGACGGCGATCCGCGGTGCTGGGCGCCCGAGGTCGCGGTCGCCGTGCACGCGGCCAAATCCACCAGCCCCAAGCGCGCGTCGGACACGTCAACCGTCTCGACCGCGGCGCGCGCGAACGCGACCACCCCGGCCGCCGATATGTGGAGCGCCGGCACCGTCGCGTACGTGCTGCTCACAGGCCAGTTGCCCTACTCGTCGACGCGCGCGATCCGCCGGCTGGCCACGTCCACCACCTCGGCGTTCCCGCCGCCCGTCACCAACCCATCGACGCCGCCCGCATGGGCCCACATCTCGCCGTACGCGCGGGACTGGCTCGCGCGCGTCCTCGCCGTCCCACCGGGCGCGCGCATTTCCGCACAGGACGCGCTCGCACACCCGTGGCTCGCAACGGCGCGCGCGCATGCGAACCGCCGCGACCCGGTGGTCGTCGCGATGATGGCCGCGGTGAATGTCGGGCAGGTGTTGCGTGGGCAACTCGCGACGGCCGAAGTCGTGGCGGAGTCGAAGAAGTCGGTGGCGGCCGCGGCAGCAGCGGACGCGAAGAGTGTGCGGTCGGTCGCGAAATCCGCACGCAGCGTCGGGGCACGGAGTTTTGCATCGGTTGGTCGTGGCGCGGGACGCGGGGGACGGCGCCGGCGGCTGGCGTTCCCGCGCGTCGTCCCTGCTTCTCCTGCCACCGCCGCTTCCGCGCGTGGCCGCGCGGGGACTGGCGCGTCGGTCGTCACGGCGCCCCAAGGGCGGGACGAGTGGGAAGACGTGGATGACGCCGAAGACGAGCTGGCAATCGAGTCCGACACGGACTCGGCGTGGTCCGACGCATCGTCGACGCCCGCGACCGGCGCTCCGTCATCGACCCAGCGGAGCACGAAGCGCGGGACCAGTGTCGCGTCGTCGCAGGCGTCGTCGTCCGCGCATCGCCGCCGCGTTGCAGGACGGGTGCGGCGTGCGCTGCCGCGTGGCGTGCCGCGGCCCGCTGCGCCGGCGCCCGTGCAGCATACAGTACCCGTAGCCATGTCCCCGGCGACGCCGGCGGCGAGGCGGTTGCGGCCGGTCGCGTCAGCCCCAGCGCTAAATGTGGTGCGGGAAATGGTGACAGGGGCGTGAGAGTAGGGTGCAGAGTGAGGTGAGATCGTCATTCTCTTTGGTCAAATTTTGATCGTGGTGTCAAGCGCTGAAGTTGTGGCAGTGAAATCGTATAATGTTTTTAATGGACTTGACGGCCTTTTGGCACGGTTGTTTGGGTACTGTCATGAGCAGCACTCTTCCCCTCAAACGAGTGTTGTTGCGGCCAAAGGGCGCACATACTTGTTTGTTACATGTCAGCCAGCACACACGACCAACGACTTGCAAGAGCAGGGATGACTTGCGTGTTGGCTCTGAACCTGCCTCTGGCCGCTCTATGACTTGGGCATGAGGCATGAGGCGCTTGATGGTTGTTGTGATGGGCAGGAAGACAAGAGCGGTCTGTGTCAACAAAACCATGGACAAGAGCAGCAGCACGAGGTTTTTCAACATCCCCTTGCTTGTCAAACAAGTCCGGTTCTGCTTATTTCACGCTCATTATTGCAGGTGCATGCATGATCGTCCACAGCCCCACAGGACTATGACTCGTGTCCTTGCAGAAAAGTTGGAGAAAACTAGCTTATGCAACTAGATGCATTCAAAGACAACACCTGCAAGGCGGAACAAAAAAATCAGGCTGCAGAGCCGTCGCAGCTATGCAACTTGTGAGTCAATGCACACCCTTGTAGCCGGAAAGTGAGCGACAACGACAGGATTCGAACCTGTGCAGGCAGAGCCTAATTGATTTCTAGTCAATCTCCTTAACCACTCGGACACGTTGTCGAAATTTCCCAGATGTTGGCTGGTGCTCAGGAAACGTATGGCGTTATATATATACATCTGGACGAGGCTCAAAGATTTCCTCCAGATTGATCAATCCGGCCTGCAGGCTGCAATGGCCTCCAAACGATTCAAACCAGACAGAGGCGTTGCTGGTTGAAAAACAAACCAGCAAGCTCACACCAAGAGCATGAAGCAAGGCCAACCACACTTGACATTTTAAATTTGTACAATAATGCATAAATCACACTTTCAATCTCGTTTTGGCCAGCAGGTGCAGACGGCGACATGGCATCAGGGTCTTGATCTGAGTGCAACCATACACCTATGAGGGCTTCATGAACAAGACCGCGTGACAGCGAACTCAATTGCAAAAGTACAAAAAGACTTCGCTCACAGTTCAGGGGCGAATCGGGGATCGAACCCGAGACCTCTTGTACCCAAAACAAGCATGATACCACTACACCATACGCCCATGCCAAGCGCGGTGGCAAGCAGCTACGGGGCACAGTGGCCGAGGCCCGCCGGTGTGGTCCGCCACGTCGTCGCCATCGCGAGCCGCGATGCGCGCCGTTTGCTACGCGCGGCTCTCGGCCCGCCAGCGCGTCGCGGAAATTCTCCAAGGCGCTGATCCACTGAGTTTGCCAGGTTGATTGGGTGGAGGGGGGTGATGTAGCATTCTGGACTGCATGTCCAGGGGCGCCTTGAGCATCCCCTTTCATGGCGCTCCGTGCATTCCTGCAGAGTGTCCAGTTCGAGTTATGGTGGGCGAAGGGTTGGACATACCCATTTTTAGCGAGCCACCACCACCATGGTCCTTGAGCGACCTGACACAAGGCTTGTTTCGCATATTTGTGTCTCCTAGTGGCAATCTTGTCACACCGTGGCATAAGGAGTTTGCTGATCAACCTCGTCTCTACACCATACGCCCACATCAGTTACGAAGTTGAGTTCATCTGTTGCGCCCCATCATAATTGGAGCAAAGGTTGGATTGGCTCTTCTGACCCACTGATCACATGGTGGACGCGAACTGGTTTGTATGTACTCCCTGAAACAGCAGCAAATCGCTGGTAGCATCATGACATCAATTATATCAGGTCTGAATTTGTTTTTCCACTTTTTATTGTGTTGGGAGAGTGAGACTAGCGGTTCAATCCACTTTCGTTTGACTGTCAAGGCAGTGGAACTGGTGTCTATTTCCTTGCTCCAAGTCGGCTCATTCCTGACCTCGCGTCATGTTTGCGGCATCCAAAATCGCGCGCTCTCGAGAGTTGGGAAAATTATTGAGGTTGATCGGAGATTCTTTTTGAGATGCGCTGGACCACTGTATTCTCATCAAGCAGCAACTAATTCATTTTAGTCGGGCGCGAATTACTCCTGCGCAACACGCATTCTTCATACCTCGGCACTGCAAACGGCCACTCTGCATCGCTCACACCCATGCCATCCTTCTCCACCGCCTGGGGCCACGTCCAGACCAAGTGCGTCTCGCGGAACACGGGCACCTGTTTGACCTCCTTGAACGCCAATTTCTCCTGAAACATGCGCAAGCTCGCCGTATTGTTCCATCCGACAATCGCACGAAAACTCGTCAACTGCACGCCCGGCGGTGCGAGTTGGCCAATATGCGTGCGCGCCCAGTGCATCGTCCACGCGAGCGCGCGCTGTGCGAGTCCGTGCCGCCGTGCCAACGGTTCGGCAAGCATGATTTCGACTTCTGCCGCACAGTACCGCGACGGTGGGTCGGACTCGCCGTCGTGGTCATGGTCATGGTCGTGGAAGAACAAGTTCACGTCGCCGATCATCCCGCCAAGGGAACGGAGTGTGGTTACGGCGTCGGCGTCGAGCGGCACATCAGGTTCCGCGTCGACGGGGAGAAATTCGGCGGGAGTGGTCGCGGACGGGTCGTAATTGAGCGGCATCTTGGACCACACGAGAATGAACGTGAGTTCTAGATCGCGATCCGAGTGGTCCGGTCAGTTTGGGTTCGTGATTTGGTACGAAAGCGGGTGGAGAGATTACAGACTGTCGTTGTCGTTGCGCCACGACCGCTGCATAGCGTACTCTTCAGCGAGCGAGAGCGGGTCCGACGCGGTCGCCTCGAGCAGCGCCGGCGATTGCATCCACTCGTGGTACTGCGGCACGTGGCATGCGAGGTACGGCACGAGCGCGAGCTGACCGTGCGCGCCGACGTCGTTGTTGGCCGACGGCAGTGACGCGGCCGGAATCTGGTTGTGATGACAGCGCCGCGTTCGCGATGGTGATCAGCTGCTGCCACCTTGGCGACATGGTCGCAGATTATCTTCCTCAGGCGCGCGCGCGCCGTGAACGGACCAAGTACGTGTTGGCGTTGATCTTCATGATGCCGGGAGGGGTCGTGGTCGAAACGCAGCTGCTTCGCGCGGACGAGCTGCTGATCCTCTCGAGCTCGGCGGGTTGCTGCCGTTCAATCGATAGCGGTTGTGAGCAAGCGGTCGTCCTTTGCTGATGCTGAGGTGGAAGCGCCAGCGTCGGTCAAGCACCGTGAAGCGCTTTCGACTTGGTCGTTTGCTTCGTTTGCCCGATCGCTTCTGATCAGAGCGACGCGGCGTAAAGTTGATAGCCTGACAACGATAGCCGTGAATTGTTTCGCTCTGTCAAAGAGCGGCCGGCTTGCCTTCTGGTCAGGTGAGCGCACGCGATGAGCCCGCGCTCCACAACACGCCTTCTCGCGGCCACCACTGCCGAGCCGACCTCATCCCGCTGCCGGCTGCTCGCCATCTATCGCACGAGCACGCGCGCGACCACCTGCACCATGTCGCTCAGTACCGTTGCCCGCGCCGCCGCGCGCGCCGCCTACGTAAGTGGCCCACGGCTCACGCACCGCCGACGGACCGGCTGGTCGCCCAGATCACGGCTCCTCGGCCAACCCACTGACCACTCCTCCCCCTTTCCTCTCTCCCCTTTACAGGCGCGCCCCGCCGCGCTCCGCGCCTTCTCGACGGCGTCGCTGCGCCTCGCCGCTGCCAAGCCCGGCGCGTCGGAGCTCTCGTCGATTCTCGAGGACCGCATCCTCGGCGCCAATGCCGCCGCTGACATTCAGGAGACGGGCCGCGTCCTCACGATTGGTGACGGTATTGCGCGCGTCTACGGCCTCAAGAACGTCCAGGCCGAGGAGATGGTCGAGTTCTCGTCGGGCATCAAGGTACGCTTCCTGTTTTCCGCTTCGTGCGTGCGTGAACGAGCAAAGGGCCCCGGTAGATTGACCGCGCGGCGAACCGTTTTCATATAGGGTATGGCGCTCAACCTCGAGCCCGACAACGTCGGTGTTGTCGTGTTCGGTAACGATCGTCTGATCAAGGAGGGCGACACCGTCAAGCGTACGGGCAAGATTGTCGACGTCCCGGTCGGCGAGGGTCTGCTCGGCCGTGTCGTGGATGGTCTTGGCAACCCGATCGACGGCAAGGGTCCGCTGAAGAACGTCAAGTCGACGCGTGTCCAGGTCAAGGCGCCCGGTATTATCCCGCGCAAGTCGGTCCACGAGCCGATGCAGACCGGTATCAAGTGCATTGACTCGATGGTGCCGATTGGCCGTGGTCAGCGTGAGTTGATCATTGGCGATCGTCAGACGGGTAAGACGGCCGTCGCGCTCGACACGATCATCAACCAGAAGCGCTGGAACGACGGCAACGAGGAGGCCAAGAAGCTCTACTGTGTCTACGTTGCTGTTGGCCAGAAGCGCTCGACGGTCGCGCAGTTTGTGCAGACGCTCGAGGAGAACGACGCGCTCAAGTACTCGATCGTCGTTGCCGCTACGGCCTCGGAGGCGGCCCCGCTCCAGTTCTTGGCCCCCTACTCGGGTTGCGCCATGGGCGAGTGGTTCCGTGACAACGGCAAGCATGCGCTGATCATCTACGACGATCTGTCGAAGCAGGCCGTCGCCTACCGTCAGATGTCGCTGCTGCTGCGTCGTCCGCCCGGTCGTGAGGCCTACCCTGGTGACGTCTTCTACCTGCACTCGCGTCTGCTCGAGCGCGCCGCCAAGATGTCGGACGAGTTCGGTGCCGGTTCGCTCACGGCGCTGCCCGTCATTGAGACGCAGGGTGGTGATGTGTCGGCCTACATTCCGACCAACGTCATTTCGATTACCGACGGCCAGATCTTCCTTGAGGCTGAGCTCTTCTTCAAGGGTATTCGCCCGGCCATCAACGTCGGTCTGTCGGTCTCGCGTGTCGGTTCGGCCGCGCAGATCAAGGCCATGAAGCAGGTCGCTGGTTCGCTCAAGCTCTTCCTCGCGCAGTACCGTGAAGTCGCTGCCTTCGCACAGTTCGGTTCGGATCTCGACGCGTCGACGCAGTTCCTGCTCGGCCGTGGCGCGCGTCTCACGGAGCTGCTCAAGCAGCCGCAGTACAAGCCGCTCGCCGTCGAGGACCAGGTCGCCCTGATCTTTGCCGGTGTCAAGGGCCACCTCGACCGCGTCGACACGAAGCGCATTGTCGAGTTTGAGCAGGCCTTCCTGCCGCACCTCAAGGCGTCGCACGCCGACTTGCTCGCCACGATCCGCACCGAGGGCAAGCTCTCGGCCGAGACCGAGGCGAAGCTCGCGCAGGTGTGCGAGGACTTTGCCAAGTCGTTTGCCTAAATTGAAACAATGGACGAGGATAGCGTTGCGTGTTTTCGTGCCGAATGCGTAATTGGAAATAGGCAATGCGTTGTTTGTCTTCTTTGACCCCTTGCTTGTTGTTGAGGTCCACTCGTTTCCCCCTATCCCGAGGCATCGCTCGACATTGTTTCCCCGTCCGGAATCGCGCGACCAGCGCCGTTGGCAACAAGAGCACACTGAGATCATGGGCAGGCATGGACCGGTGGCAACGAAATGCACAGGTCGTGACCGCGACGGGTGTTTGTTGACGCTCTGACCTGGGCCGATCGCTTCTCCCCGCAGTTTCTCTCCTCTCCATCAACTCCGGTCACCCTTTCGACCTGCGGTCCTGACGCCCGCAGCTTGGACCAACAGCAGCAGCACCAGCAGGGTCCTTCAGCGCTGCCTTCTTGCCGACGACCTGTGAGCCCAACGAAAGCGGCAGCAGCACCGCCATTGCTCGGCCAGTTTCGTACTTGACTGGTCTTCACCCTCACCAACCCTCAATACCGACCGAACAACTATGGGCGTCAACAAGATCGTCAACACGATTTCACTCGCCGGCGGCGTGGGCGTCGGGTACGGCGGGTACTCGTTTGCCGTGCGGTACTACCGAGTACGTCCGACCATCGCGACCCTTGCAATCATCTTCCTCCACAACATTCGAGCTGACAGCGCCATACTCTACCAGAACGCACCGCTCGGCGGCCGTCACGCTGCGTTTGCCGGCGTCGGGTTCCTGACAGGCTACGTCGCGTGCCTCGCGCTTTTCCAGCAGCTCGACCGCAAGTTTGTGCTGGGCGAGTGATGACCGCCGTCGTTGGAGTTGCGCGCTCGAGTACGGCGCACTGCG